AGAGATGAAAATAAATGAGCAAATTATATATTTTAGAGATAGATATGATAAAGCTTGTGAGGGAAAAGAATTAAGGATAACTTTCAAGTTGGGGGACAAAAGGAGCTAAGTGGATAGCAATAACAATTACCATCCTGGTTAAGAGAGTCTGAAGGCATTTTCACAGAAAAATGACATAATGCACTTTAGGTACTAAACCAAGCACTGGACATGTGTGGGACTACTACAAAGGTTAACAATATGCTAGCAGTTAACATATTGCTCGTTTGAACTATGACAGTGTAGAGGAAAAGGAAGTGAGATATACTTGAATTGGCAATTCATTGAAAGGGAAGAAAACCTGAAATGGCTTAGGTTTCACACTTTGATTACCTAGTGGAGCCATACAGAAAGAGCACATCTATGAGAAAAAGGAGGGGTCTGGGTGAAAGACATATAGAACCTGAGGTGCCCCCAGCTCATCCAGGTGGAGGTATCTCATAGCATTTTCAAAAAGGTCAGAATTGGAAATATCAATAGTTGTCTATTGGACAGTTGAAACCATAAAAGTGGGCAAGATCTCTCTAAGGAATCTAATATATAAATGGCTAATATGCTAAGTATCCATCTGGGTAATGACATCAGGTAGTAATGCCTGGCTTCCTCTCCCTAGCAACGGTTAGCCTTCTTACAGTTTCTTCAGCCCAGGAACATAACTTGCTTTATAGCCAGGTGCAAACATTTCTTTAACAAGACTTTAACCAAATGTCTGTGAAGCGTTTTCCCGTGCCTCATCTCATTTGATCCTCACAGAAGTCCTGGAATAGGTAGATAGGAGACTCAGTGGAATCAGATTTCTTTTCATTAGCCAGAAAATGGAGATTTAGAAAACTTAGAAACTTAACCCGACTGAAAAGAAGAAATGGTGGACTCTGAAAATTACTTAAGGTTTTCTCATGTGCAGAATATAGTGAAACATTGCTGCAGTTAAATATTTTACCCTTTGTTCTCTTTGCATGATCTACAATAATAATCTACTCCATGTTAATATTTACTGTTGTGTTTCTGACAATTACCTGAAAGAGAAGTTGGGGTGCTTTACTGGGCTGAATAAAGTTCAGCTAAATCAGAAAGCAGGTCTAATTAGTAAGCAAGTTTACTCTTGCATATATAAAAGGCTAAGTTGACTCGCGCATGCACGATACATATAAAGCTCTCACTGGCGCCAATCGCACGTTTGTGTTTTGATGTGTCATGGTCGATCATGAAATTGGTTGATACTTCTATTATAGAGAAAGGGCAAATAGCAATATTAAAATATTTCTTCTAATCAATTTCCTTTCAATGTGCAGGGATTCGTGCACTGGGCCACTAGTATAAAATAATGATAACAAACTCTTTACAATGCTTACAATTAAAAATGAGAGAAGAAGGGGAGGCCAGAGTAGGAGCAGCTAGATGGAGAGAGAAAAGAAAACCAGAGGAGTGAAGATTCATGCGTAGCAGGAGAAAAGCAAAGTTTCAAAAAGAGAGGATCAACAATAGCAAATATTGCAGACAGGTCAAAGGGGATGCTGGCAAAAAATAATTCTGGGCTTGAGGGCAGAGAGATGTCAAATTGTAAGTGATCTGACAGTCAAGTGAGAAAGGAAGTTGTTAAAGGGGTCACAAGGTAGAAAGTTTTTTTAGGACACCATACTTTGACCCTAGGTAAGGAACTTACTAGCTGTTTTAAATAGTATTAGTATGTAAGTTAAAGATAAGAGAGAAGAAGAATAACATCAAGAACACAGAGTGGGATATGAGAGTGGGAAGTTGAACATAGGAGGTCACAATGAGAACTGTATGGGAACAAAACAAACAAACAAAAAAGATGAGGGTGCTCACAGTACCTGTCCTGGTCATTATCACCTGCATAAGGAACGAAGTTATACTCTAAAGATAAGGGACAGTACAAAGACTGTCCAAAAGTCTTTGTTGCTATTAATTTGACTATGAGTATTTCTGAAAAAATTTAAACATATTTAATTCAAAAAAACTATACATTCCTCTTCAAAAAAAAAAAAATCTTAGTTTCAAAACCACAGGTTTAATTACTCTCTACCTTATTATCTATGGTAAGGATTATTTATCTAGAAATTTTTATGATCCAAGAAAAATGAATAGGAAATTTAAAATGTTATTATAGTATACTTTTTCATGTCTACTATCTTTTAAAAATGAATTATGAATACTATTTTAAAAGCATAAATTAAGTAATGACAATAAGCATAAAATAACATAGAACAAAGATATAAAGAACACAGAGTGGGATATGAGAGTGGGAAGTTGAACATAGGAGGTCACAATGAGAACTGTATGGGAACAAAACACTATTCAGACACAATTTCCCCCTCTCTTCACTTCATTAATACTTTCCATGACATATATAACTTTATTACTTTCTAGTTTGTCAGTTATTTGCTATTCTTTTCAATAAAAATCGAACCTATCAGGACTTATATTTTGATATAAACAATACCTATCTCTTGTATTTTCACCCTTCTCCCTTATCTACTGATTTTGCAGGGCCTATCACAGCTGTGAACCAAGAAGAGAAACAAGAAACACGTAAAGAAATAGCCATATGTATAGCTGATACCAGTTAGTGGATATTAGGTTTAGCCTATCAATGGATATGTGAATTGTTCCTATCAAATGTGTTAATTGTGATGGGGAAATTATGTTTATATTGATTCTGGCTGATACATTAAAAAATGTGTAGATTAAGTAATTATTAATGTAAATAGCACAGTTCTACCACCAGACTAATTTTTTTTTAAATATATTTTATTGATTTTGTACAGAGAGGAAGTGAGAGAGATAGAGAGTTAGAAACATCGATCAGAGAGAGTCATCGATCAGCTGCCTCTTGCACACCCCCTACTTGGGATATGCCCGCAACTAAGGTACATGTCCTTGACGGGAATCGAACCCGGGTCCCTTCAGTCCCCAAGCCGACGCTCTATCCATTGAGCCAAACTGGTCTCGGCTACCACCAGACTAATTTTTATCCTGAATTCCTTTATTATTTTAAAAAATATATTTTTGCTGATTACTTTAGAGAGAGAGGAAAGAAGAGGGAGAGAGAAATACTGATGTGAAAGAAAAACATCAGTCGATCAGGAAATCGAACTGGTGACCTTTCAATGCATGGGATATGCTCAATCAGCCACAACAACCAGACTATTTGTATCTGCCATAGGTACTCAATAAATGTTGACTAACTGGATGAAAATAGTATAGGCATTAAACAAAAATAGCATTAAATAAGACCAAAAAGTAGGCTAAGAGTAAACTAGGAAAGATAACTTATAAAAACTGGTCAGTAATTTTCTGACCCAGTTATACATAAAAATCACTGGAAATCTGAATCATTGAGGATTGGGGAAGCATCTACATCTCTTAAAAGTCCCATCAGTGCCCTGGCTGTGGCTCAATTGATTGGATCTTTCTCCTGCTTACCCAAAAGGTGCGGGGTTTGATTCCCAGACAGGGCACATACCTAGGTTGTAGATCTGATCCCCAATCAGGGTGCATATGGGAAGCAACTACTCGGTTTCTCTCTCACCATCGATTTTTTTTTCTCTCTCCCCTTCTTTCTCTCTTCCCCCTTTCCATCTCCCCTCTCCCTCTTTCTAAAAACAATAAAAAGGATATTATACATAGAAAACCCCAAAGACTCCATCAAAAAACTACTAGACCTAATAAATGAATCTGACAATGTAGCAGGATACAAAATTAACACCCAGAAATCTATGGCCTTTTTATATACCAATAATGAACTTACAGAAAGAGAAATGAAAAAAAATATCCCATTTATCACTGCACCAAAAAAATTAAGATACCTAGGAATAAAGATATTTAACTAAGGACATAAAAGACCTGTACTCAGGAAACTACAGTACACTGAAGTGAAATAAGCCGGTCAGTGAAAAAAATACCACATGATCTCCCTCATTTATGGATAATAAAGAGCATTATAACCTGATGAACAAAAAGATAGATACAGAGTCAGAGAAGCATCAAACAGACTGTCAAATTACAGTGGGAAAGATGGGGAGGGGTCAGGGGGGTAAGAGACAAACCGAAGGACTTGTATGCATGCATATAAACATAACCAATGGATGTAAGATACTGGGGGTGGTGGCGGTGAAGGCATGTGCTGGGGGGGGCGGGGAGTATGGGAGGTGGGGGGTGGTTAAGGTCAATGGGGGGAAAAAGGAGACATATGTACTACTATTTGTAATACTTTAAACAATAAAATAAATTATAAATGAAAAAAAAATAAAAACAATAAAAAGCATATCCTCAGGTGAGAGGAAAAAGTCCCATCAGTCATTCCACTGCATGGCCATAGTTAGGACCACTTCACTTTAGTGAAAAGAGGAGACTCACTGACAAGGAAAACCAAATATGATGTGGAAATGTCAACAGATGGAAATAAGGAAACTCCCAGTACAAAAGCATAAGAGTAAATGAGACACAAACACAATGTTAAACCACCCTTGGTTATGCCATGTCAAGTCCAAAATGTTCCCTAAAAGACAGAAACTTAGGAAGACAGCCCAGAGAAAACTGACCACAGATGGAGTTGTACACATGATGACATCTTGCATTTCATGGAGGTTAAAGGTTTGTCATCATTACAGAATATAAAACTTAAAAAAAGTAGGAAACAGAGAGCAGGTAAACATAAAGCAATATGAACTCAAGAATTCAGAATTCACCAAACTTTTCCTTTTGTATTTGGAAAATATTTCAGTGAAGTCTATGGGGAATTATTTTCTGTAATCAGCTTCCTGACTAAAGAAAGCCCTTTCAATCCTGAGTTCAGCTGTCTATGACTAAGGGTTGAGGCATTTGAATCATTTTCTCTTCAGAGTACTCTGGGAAACCTGTGGTTTATAGTTGACTTTTCTGCAAACAGTTGGATCTCAGAAATTTGAATTCAAGGGGTACACTAAAATCCCATATGGTACCTTTTTGTCAAAAGCCACATGCGCAGGAATAAATTCTGGAGGTGCAGCCTGCTTAGGTTCACCATATGTTAGAAGTGGTGCCTTGTTAGCCAACTCATCCAGGTCAGCCTGGGACAGCTGGTTGACCTGGAGCCGGTCCCCGCCTATTCCAACCGTTGGACGACGAGCCATTGCATAGCCATGCGAGTAGTTCAGTGTTTGGCTTCTATGGAAGTCTGTTTTCTGAAGAAGAAAAGAAGTATGTAATTAATAAAATTGGTTAGGTAAAAAGGCTCACTTTCAAACATATCATAACAAACTTTTGCTTATCAATAACACAAACCTTCTATCAAAAAGTATACCTATAGCCCTAGCTGGTTGGCTCAGTGGATAGAACATCAGCCTGTGAACTGAAGGGTCCCAGATTCAATTCTGGTCAAGGGCACATGCCCAGGTTGCTAGCTCGATCCCCAGGGTGGGGTGTGCAGGAGGCAGCCGATAGATAAATGATTCTCTCTTCTTACTGATGTTTCTATCTCTCTCCCTCTCTGAAATCAATAAAAAGTATTTTTTTAAAAACAGGATGCCTATATTGTAAGTTTCTGATATTTTTGCCTGGAACAAGGAGGGAAGCAGCATCCTGAGTTTAAAACATAAAGCCATGCTCCGGAACATCAAATTCATTACCAGCCCACTTCTCACAAGAAACCAAAATATTAATTTCAGTTTCTTAAAATACTATTTTTTGACTGGTCTTCCCATGTTTATTGTCTTATCTAGTGGCCACAGACTATGGAACCTGAAAGAGCTGGTTCTGCAAAATCAATTTTTACTTGAAAAGAAAGGTCTTTTTTTTTTTGTTACAATGACACTGATATATTCACACAACTCTTTGGAAAGAGAGTAGACATTAAATATTTAAAATCTTGAACTCAGTAATTCCACCTCAATCCTTTAAGGATATAATCTAAAATTATCACAGAAATAATATGTCTAAAGTTGACCATTATAACTTTAATTACAACAATAAAAACATTGGAAACAATTGAAAATCATACATATGAGTAAATGATGGTAAACTCAGTGGACTACTATTAATATTATGCAGTCATTAAAATACTGGTTTTAAAGACTATGTAGCAATCCGGAGAAATGTTTGATTTAATAAGCCCTTAAAAGCAGCCTAGCCTATGAAAGCATATATGTACTATAATTACAAGCATGCAAACATGTACCTGAAAGAGACTAGATTTGGTGAACGCTCTCTGTCTGTATTATACATTTCTGAATGATGTCAATTTTTTCCCCCCAATGAACTCATTTTTATTGGGGATTTTGGGGAAAATTGACTAAATAAAAATAAAGAAGTGTAAAGGAAATAAATGTGAAGATAGAGGGGGGCCAAAATGGTGACACAGGAGGCCCTAGTGTCCTATACCCTCACAAAGATCAACAATTAGCTACCTATAAACAACATAGAACAAAAAATCTGACAGTAATCTCACAAAAAGAAAAGGAAGACTTCATTTTTCCAGTATCATCCCATCCCCCAGCACCAAGAGGGAGCTACCCAGCTAGAAAGATTTCCCCTCCCCAGGAAAAAAAAAAAAAAAAAAAAAGGATGACAACCAGTTTCACCCCAGAGCAGCTAAGCTGAAGTGTATAGTCAGCTAGGAACAAAGAAGAAAAACAGGGGGCCACTGAGTGAGAGTGACTGCGCTTCACAGAGAAGTGCTCAGTGGAAAAACACAGCTGATTTTGCCACTTACCTGAAGCCAATAGCAAGGATAGCTGTAGCCACTGTGTACTTCCTGTAGATTTCACCCCACAGGTATTCATGTCTGCTGACACCAGTCACCTGAGTCCCTCCACACTCCCTCCCTTTCCTATGTCCTGGCCCGCAGAGGTAGCAAGCCCAGGTCTCTGTAGCTGCTTAAGCATAAGATCCTATCATAAACACCCCACCCTCACCCCGGCTGACTCCCCCTCTGCTGTGCATGAGCTTGGAGCTAGCCCCTCCAGCTGTGCACCTGCATATAACTGGCCTTACATCATCGCAGGCCTCCCTTGCAGTGTGCATGCCCAGGGGTGAGTGTGCACCTGAAGAGAGTGTGCAGCCACAGAGAGCATGCTGACAACCAGGGCCTTTGTAGCAGCCAGTGAGGCCACAGTTGGCCCCAGACCTGCTACTGCTCTGATCTCCACTATCATGTGTCTGCAAACAGCCCCTGCCACTACACCGCCACCTGCAGTTGGACCCCTGCAGCTCATTATGTGCACATCACTGGTTTGGGTCCCCAACGCTACATATGCTGGTCCTGAACTGCTAGACCTGGAGGTGCCATGGAAGACCCCAACAGCCTTTGCAACCACTGCACAACACTTACAGTGTTTGCCAAGATCCACAGTTGGTAATGCGGTACACATCAGTGGCCTGAGCTGAAGAGACATCATACCCACCCACAACCCTGCCAGACCCAGTACTGCTACACAGAACACTTGGTGCCCTGCAGCACTAGACCCAGGATCACGGCATACTTCAGCATACTTCCACCAGCAGTGAAACTATTCCCTTCCCAAAGGCAGTCCATAAAGTTTTGCAGAGGTGACTGCTTTTTCAAATGTGAAGGCACCTGTGCAAGACAGCAGGGATCATGAAAAATCAGGAAAACGTAATTCCACCAAAGGAATACAGTAAACCTATAATAACTGCCACCAAAAAATGAAGAAGTAGAAATTACCTGATTTAAAAAAAAACAAAAAAACAAAAAAAACACCTCAAAACAGTAAAACTTCTATATAAAAACTATTTGGGCAAGGAAGTGTCAAAGCCGAAAGTCCACTATATAATGAAGTAGGGTTTCCAAATGCATATGTTAAAAAACTGACAAATTAGTTTACCGTTTTTACCCGGTTTCCCCAAAAACAAGACAGTGTCTTATATTAATTTTTGCTTCCAAAGATGCACTAGGTCTTATTTTCAGGAGATGTCTTATTTTTCCATGAAGAAAAATATGGTACACATTTATTGTTAAATGAAAACAAAGGAAATTTATTACCTGTATACGGTACGGTAGTACGGTAGTTGTCAATACAAACCAGACAAACTGTGAATCCTACAGTATCAAGAATTTTCTCATTTATTCAATGACAATCATGTCATCATCTTCTGGAACATCATCATAACAATCCAATTCCTGAATTTCCTGGTGAATTTCTTGTGATTCCATTTCTTTCAGAATCAGTGGACCAAATCTCTCATGTTTAGCCTGGGGGGGGGGGGAGCTTATTTTCGGGGGGATGCCTTATATTTCACTCAGAAGGAAACACGGCACTTATATAGACACATTTGTGTAATTAAAATTATTTATGAAAATTTTAATTTCACAGAAAAGATTTCTATGTAACAGTAATTTTAACTTATACTAAAATAGGTCTAATAAGTGCATGCATTCACCCCGTCACTGGGAGTAAACAAATGCACAGGCGGTGGTGTGGCTTAGAGCAGTGGGAACATAGGCCAGCGTGACTCATTTATGGATAATAAAGAACATTGCAAACTGATGAACAAAAAGATAGAGACAGTAAAGCAGCAAACAGACTGTCAAATTACAGCAGAGGGTAGGGAGATATGGGGGAGATAAGAGATCAACCAAAGGACTTGTATGCATGCATATAAGCATAACCAATGGTCGCAAAAATCTGGGGAGGGAGGGCATGTATGGAAGTGGGGTGGGGGGGAGCAATGGTAAGATATGTATACATATAAAACCTTAATTTAAAAAATGAAAAAAATAATAATAATTACATAAAAATAATCTGTTAATTTAATTATAAGCAAACTAGAGACTGGTGCACGAAATTCATGCGGGGGGGAGGGGACGCCAGGGAGGTGTTCCCTCAACCTGACCTGCACCCTCTCTAATCTGGGAGCCCTCAGGGGATGTCCTACTGATGGCTTAGGCCTACTTCCCACAGTTCTCTGCGGGGGCCTGCCTTCTCCACACCATGGCGACTGCTAAGCAGTCCATGCTGGATGCTGCCTGCAGGCTGTGCTTCACTGCTCCTGGGTTGCTGAGGCCATGCTGGGAGCTGCCTGTGGGCTGCTTGCCAGCTCCCAGATCGCCACAGTGACAGCCAAGCAGGCAGGACTGGGAGCTGCCTCCTCCCTACTGTCAGTCTTCAAAAAGGCCATGAAGTTAAATTTGCATACTCACTCCTGATTGGCTGGTGGGTGTCAAAGTGATGGTCAATTTGCATATTTCTTTTTTATTAGTGTAGATCTTGGTTAAAAGCTATTTTCAGTTAATGCTAATTTTCACATATGACATACGGACTGGAAATTTTGTCCATTAAATCTGTAGTTCATTAAATTGAGGGTTTACTGTCATTGTCTTAAAGATGTTCAGAAAATTACAAGAGAACACAAATAAATGACTCAACAATATCAGGAAAATAATACAAGAACAAAATGAGAAATTCAACAAAGAGTTAGAAAACATTATAAAGAACCAAACAAATTTTGGAACTGAAGAATAAAAGATTTAACTAAAGAATTAAAAAGTAGCTTTAACAGAAGACTGAACAAGAAGAAAGAATCTGTAAGTTAGAAGACAAATCAATTGAAATTATCCAATCAGTGGAGCAATAAAAAAAAGAATGACAATGAATGAAACATATAGAACTTACAGGACATTAATAAAAGGAATAATATATGCATCTTGGAGTAGATAGGAAGAAAGAGAGAGAATGCTTATTTAAAGAAATAATGGCTAAGAACTTCTCAAACCTGAAGAGAGAGGGATATCCAAGTCCATGAAGCTAATTGGTCACCCCAAAATTTCAAACAAAAATAATCTTCTTCAAGATACATGACAATAAAACTATCTACATCAAAGACAGAGAGATAATTTTTAAAAACAATAAAAGAAAAAAATCTCTTTTACAAGGGAACCTCCATAACCCTATTATTATGCTATCATTACAGGTCAGGAGAGAATGATATGACATATCCAAAGTACTAAAGGAAAGCAACTGCCAATAAAGAATATTTTACCCAAAAAAGTTGTGCTTCAGAAATAAAGGTGAGATAAAACTTTATCACCACTAAACCTAACTGAAGTTCTTCAAGCTGAAATAAGGCATTGATTTGTAACATAAAAACATATAATACACAGGTAAAGGTAAGCATATGGTCAGATTCAGAATACCCTAATACTGTAATATGGTGATGTGTTAACACG